CTTTCTCGAATTTTTTTCTAGAAAATGCGCAGAATTTCGAGGGTATGTCTATTCACCAAAAATTATTGTAATCGACCCTCGGAACTGAAAATAATATTTTCAGAACGATTCGAAATTTTTTTCTCCCGTCGAAACATTTCACACATTCTCAAATTTTTTTCGCGAAAGTGGATAGGATTTTGAGGGTATGTCTAATGAAAAAAAATGATAGTAATTGACTCCTGCAACTAAAAATAATTTTTCCACGACGATTTGAAATTTTTTAATTTTCTCGAAAAATTTCAGCATCTTCTCGAATTTTTTTCTAGAAAATGCGCAGGATTTCGAGGGTATCTCTATTCACCAAAAATGACTGTAATTGACCCCTGCAAGCAAAAATAATTGTTTTAGAACGATTTGAAGTTTTTAATTTCGCCGAAAAACTTCAGTACCTACTTGAATTCTTCTATCACAAGTGCGTGGGATTTCGTGGGTATCTCTATTCACCAAAAATGACTGTAACTGACCACTGCAACCGAAAATAATTTTTCCGGAACGATTTGAAATTTTTTAATTTTCTCGTAAAATTTCAGCATCTTCTCGAATTTTTTTCTAGAAAATGCGCAGAATTTCGAGGGTATGTCTATTCACCAAAAATTATTGTAATCGACCCTCGGAACTGAAAATAATTTTTTCAGAACGATTCGAAATTTTTTAATTTTCTCGAAAAATTTCAGCATCTTCTCGAATTTTTTTCTAGAAAATGCGCAGAATTTCGAGGGTATGTGTTAAAAAGTAATGAATATATACTTTTAACTACGAAGTCCGGATAGAGGTGTGGGAGTATTATAGGGGAAGTGAATCGGACACAAATGATTTTCTTTTCGTCGGTCTTAAAGACCGACCTTTTATTATAAAATAGACAAATAAAAGAAACAAAGAAAATCCAAATAATAATTATAATTAACCAGAAGTAACGAGACTGAACAATATTATGTGAAAATCGCTTTAGCCTCGTCCCTGCCTAGCTCGGTCGCCGAACTCGGAAGATTGAGGCAGGCCAGGTGTTTAATCCGAACGCGAAACTGAATATCGTTCGAATATTGAAGATTGCACGTGGAGTGCCGACTAAATGCGAAGTTCGAAGGACCACCCCTGTTCTGCAGGGGACTAATGAGACGACTTGTGGTTTCTGGTTTATTTAAGGTTAACAAGTACAACGTGATCGAGTACAGAGAGACTGTGGTGGAAAAACTAGGTAGCGGTCCGAGTCTGAACGAGTAAGAAGCTAATCACGGCATTCCGCCGTTTTTATACCGTTGACTTTGGTGGCGGGGGTGCAGTGATGCCGACGTAGCTTGGCGTCCAAGGCGGAGGGTGCTAAGTTTGGCAACTCCGGGGACTTTCCACCGCGTGCGTCAGCCCTTGGGCCCGCGTGCAAAACATCGACGAAACAAGGGAGGCCCAAGGCGCCGAGCCGCGCACGTGTGGGCCATCCGACAGTCTCTTGGGGCTGCAACCACTCGAGACTGCCTTCGCCAGCCAAGTTTATGACACTTTGTCCCCTTGCTTAACGAAACTCTAAGATATTTTTTGCCCATGCTGGCCTTGACGAAACTTTCCAAACGCGGTTCTATGTCATAAACCTGGTCGACTCACCGAAGCCCAAACATCCCGCCCACCTTGAACGCTCAAGCGTTTAATATACTAAGCTACATAAATTAACTAATTGGTATGGTTTGTGTTGACAACTTAAATGCTAACGGTGGGGCCGCGGGTAGTTTCCGCAGCGTCTTCTTCCTCTGCCGGCGGCAAGAGGCAGATTCTTGTCACCGGCCTCTTGATGATGCCATCAGACACCTTGATGGACACCACCCGGACTATCCCATCGGTACCTGGTTGGAGCTCGATAATTCTCCCAAGACGCCAGCGTAATGGTGGGATGTTGTCTTCCCGTACGACCACGACAGCACCTGTCTTTACTATGGTTGGTGAATTAAGCCTCCATTTCTGCCGTTGCTGGAGATGGTGCAGATACTCCTGCTGCCAACGCTTCCAGAAGTGTTGCAGCATCTGTTGGACTAGCTGATAACGGTTTAGCCGATTTTGTTTGAGAGGCAGTAGGTCCTGTTGCGGCAGGGCGGTTAATGCATCTCCGATTAGAAAATGGCCAGGAGTGAGAGGAGTGAGATCATTGGGATCTGAAGAGAGAGGATGAAGAGGACGGGAATTTAAGCATGCTTCGATCTGTGCTAGTATGGTGTACAGCTCCTCGTACGTGAGGCGCTGTTCCCCTATTATCCGTCTGAGGTGTTGTTTTGCTGATTTGACAGCACTCTCCCATAGACCCCCGAAGTGTGGCGCATGCGGTGGGATCAGGTGCCACTGTATTTGTTCTTGTGCTAGTGCCTTTCCTATTTTGGCGTGGTGTTCTTTATTGTTAAGTAATACTCCTAATTCATTAAGATTATTCCGTGCCCCAATGAAGTTTCGACCGTTGTCTGAATAAATACAGTGACTCCGTCCCCTACGAGCTATAAACCGATTAAGACAGTTGAGGAAGGCGTCGGTGCTTAATTCCGTTGCTAATTCTATATGAACGGCCTTGGTAACGAAGCATACAAAAATGCAAAGATAGGCCTTGTGTGCGGTGCGAGCACGCCCGCGTTCCTTTATTAACAACGGACCGGCATAATCGACTCCGCAGGTAGCGAATGGTCGAGCGGGAGTCACCCGAGTTGCAGGCAAGTTTCCCATGATCGGGTTTATGCCGGTTGGTTTCGTTCGGAAGCAACGAATGCATCTGTGTATTGTTTTCCTTACTACGCGCTTACAAGCTACTATCCAAAAACGGTTGCGCAATGATGCGCTGGTGAGCTGACACCCCGCGTGGAGCAATCGGCAGTGTTCATAAGCTACAATTAAATTTGTTACTGGGTGATCCGAGGGTAGAATCAATGGGTGTTTCTGATTGTAAATTATGGGAGCGTTTTCGAGTCTCCCGCCCACCCTGAGCAAACCCTTTGCGTCTAGAAATGGATTCAGTGATATGATCTTGCTAGTTTGTGTCAGCGGTTTGGTTGCTCGTAGATCGCTGATTTCCTTGCCGAAACACTCTTGCTGTACGAGTTTAACTATTGTTTCTTCGGACAAAGCTAGTTCGCGAGCCGTTAAAAATGTTTGGGGTGAATTTATGATGTTAGGTTGTACGGCGGTAATTTGATTTTTTTCACTCGTCTTGGATTTCAGCCGATCTAGGAACTTCCTGCAGTAGTCTACGATTCGAATAAGCTTTGAGTACGACGAAAATCGACAAAGGATGTCCGTCGGGCAATTAGATGTTGCGACATGACCAAGGACGCGTGTAACTTCTTCCGGCATTGTGTGTGGGGTTGGCTCGATTGAAGGCCATTCGGGCTGTTCATGCAAGAGCCACGATGGGCCAGACCACCAAAGGTGTGTAAACCTTAATGTAGTGGGATCGGTGCCTCGTGATATCATGTCGGCAGGGTTGTCTACCGAAGCCACGTGGTGCCAGTTGTCTATTGATGTCGATTGGCGAATTTCTGACACGCGGTTCGCCACGAAAGTCTTCCAACGATTCGGTTGACCTCTGATCCAGGCTAGGGCTATTGTGGAGTCTGACCAATAATGTTCGCAATCGATTTTTAATTGTAGCGCGTGTCGGACTCGTTTAACTAGTTGAGCTAGCAAAAGGGCTCCGCACAATTCTAGCCGCGGAAGGGTGGTTGCCTTCAATGGAGCTACCCGAGATTTGGCACAAAGCAATCGCACCGTGTACCTGCCGGTCTCGTCGAGCGACCGCAGGTAGATGCACGCACCGTAGGCCTTTTCCGACGCGTCCGAAAACCCGTGCAGTTCTATTGACCTTGCGTTGTCGCATATTACACGGCGCGGTATTTCTATTTCTTTGACCTGATTCAATTCTGTACGAAACTTTGACCATTGAGTATGAAGATCTTGGTCTATACCTTCATCCCAACCTAACTGCAGCTGCCACAAGCTTTGCATCAAAATCTTGGCCTTTGTAATTACGGGACCGATTAAGCCGAGTGGATCGAACACCTGAGCGATTTCCGAAAGTATGGTGCGTTTAGTGATGCGATTCAAAATTGGCTCTCTGACCGAGAACCGAAGCTCGTCTGGACCAGAGAGCCATATCAAACCCAATGTTTTTGGATCCCTTTCGGGTGATTTGATTTCCTTCTCTGTGGTACTTCGGTTACGCAAGATTTCGGGCTTGTTTGATGCCCACTTTCGTAACTGAAGCCCTGCTTGCCCTAATACTTGTGTGAGCTGTTCCTTTAATGCCTGTGTTTCCTTTGCTGTCTCGCATCCTGTTAGCAAGTCGTCTACGTAAAAATCATGAATTATCGCACGACTTGCTAGAGGCGATTGATTTGCACATTCTAAACCTATCTGGTGTAAGACGCGAGTGGCTAAAAATGGGGCCGAAGATGTGCCGTACGTCACCGTATTCAGTTCGTACGTGTTGATCGGACCGTCAACACACGGACGCCAAAGAATACGTTGGTATTTCCGATCCTCTGGTCGGACGAGCACTTGGCGATACATCTTCTCTACATCTGCAGACAATACAAATCTGTGCTTTCTAAATCGAACTATGATGGAAAATAGGTCGTCTTGTACGGTCGGCCCTACTAGCTGTACGTCATTTAGTGACAGGCCCGATGACGTTTTTGCCGATCCGTCAAAAACTATTCTAACTCTAGTCGTGGTGCTAGATGCCTTGAAAACGGCATGATGCGACAGGTAGAATCCAAGGGTATTGCTAGTTGTCGCGGTGTCACGTCGGGTCATATGTCCGAGCCGTTCATACTCGTGCATGAAGGAGACGTATTCTTGGCGTAACTCGGGTTGCCTTGCTAATTTCCGCTCAATGGCTGCGAACCTTGTTTCAGCTTGAGCTCTCGAATCCCCTAACTGGTCGATGTTATTTGTGAATGGGATGCTAACTAAATATCGGCCGTCATCGTCGCGTCGTGTCGTCCGTCGAAAGTGTTGTTCGGCGTCGTTCGTCGCGTCGGTCAACGGTCTGTCTTTGTCTAATGCTACAGTTTCTAATTCCCAAAATCGCGCTAGGCTATTATTTAGTTGTTCGTTTGATATCACGTGACAAGTGCTAATTCGTGTTCTATCGTCTAGTGAGTTTAACTGTCCTCCCAAAACCCAACCGAATCTCGTCTTTTGCCAAATCAAGCCTCCTGTCCCAGCTTTCTGCTGTCCGACACAGAGGAGCTGCCAGAAGAGTCCTGCGCCTATCAGCAGGTCAATTTGCTTTGATTTGGCAAAGTTTGGATCAGCTAATTGCATCCCCGGTGGAGTCGCCGTGCTCGTCCGATCAATCAGGACATTCGGCATGTCTTCGGTGATGGTTTTTAGAACGAAACATGAGACGTTGGTACGAAAACTATTGTGTCTGGATGACACGGCTACCTGTGCCGTCGATTGTATAGAGCTGACCGCTCTACCTAGCCCGCCGACCGTCATTTCAACGTTCGAGCGCGGAAGGCGTAATCGATTGCACAGTGCCTCGGTTATGAAATGGGCCTGTGACCCAGAATCTAACAACGCGCAGCATTCATGTTTCGTTCCCTTGTTGTCTTCTAAGTAAACTATAGCCGTGGATAGAACTGCATGGTTGCCAATATTGTTAACTAAGTTTGAGACGCAGGAGGTCGCGGGTGATGGGATCGGCGCGACAGTTTCCGAATTTCGAACGAGAGGCTCTGAGCCAGCGGGCACAGAGGCCTGCTCTAGATGCAACAAGGTGTTGTGTTTTTTCCCCGCATTTTCTACAGGAACCTCGCGTACAATTTTTAATTTGATGTCCTTGTTGCAGGCAATTAAAACAAACTTGTAATTGTTTTATGGTAGCATGCATCTCCGAATGAGGCATGCTTTTCAATGTCTCGCAATGTTGTAGCGAGTGCTCACGTTTGCACAATATGCATTGAGTTTGCATATTGGCAACGTGCGAGGCTACGTACTCTATTCTGGGTTGAGGCTTGGAGTGACCGGGTGGTTTGTACAAGGGTCTCGGATCGCTACCTGCAGGCTGCCTACCTGCTGGGGCCCGTTCAAGATATTTCGCCTGTTCTTCAACAAATTCTACGAGGTCTCGAAACGTTGCGATTCCTGTCAATCTAAGGGACCGCTTTTCCCACTCCCTTTGTGTCGCAACATCTAATTTTCTCGACAAAATCAGGACTAGTAATGTGTCCCAATGTTTGATTGGTTGGCCTAATGCGCCTAGTGCTAATACATGGTTATTTGCGTTATCTACCAAGTCGCGAAGAGCTGTGTGCGTTTGTTTGTGAACCGATTGTAGGTTCAGCAAAGCGTTGCCGTGGTGGTATATGAGCGATTTAGGGTCTTCATATCTATTTTTTAGTGTTTCCCAGGCTAGTTTATAATTTTCGTCAGAAACACCCAACGACTGGATTACGCGAGCCGCGCTCCCCCTTAATGCTGAATTCAAGTAATGAAAGCGCTGAATATTACCTAATGATACATTTTGGTGGATCAACGACACGAACGTGTCACGAAAACGCAGCCAGTTATTGTAATCGCCGTCGAATTCTGGCAACACGATTGTGGGAAGTCGCGGCGTAGCTAGGATTTCCGTCGACGCGGACGTTACGCTAGGCGACGGCAACGGTTGAGTGGACGCGCGCGACCTAGTTATATAGCCGTCTACCCTTGCCATCAGGTCGAAGTACGTTGTCTCGAACGTGTCTCTAAAAGCCGCATGCATGGCCTCGTCTTGGGTTTTCGCAACCGCTAATTCTATTCTCGATTGAACGTTATCGAATTTGTCATACACAGCTTCATTTATTCTAAGACGTCTTTCTAAGGAGTCTATGGGAGTCACGCTCGCCGAAGTGTCGAAGAAATTCGCGAAACGCGTCAAAGTGGCCTTCAATTGGCCGCGTTCGCGAATGAGCGCTGTCAAGCCTTCCATTCTAATTACGATTAGCACAGACCGAAAATACAGGAGTGGACTTACGGAAGGAGGAGATGCTGAGTCGTCTTGGTGGTGACGTCCAGCGAAGTCGTCCTATCAGAGCTCGATCGTCCTATCTCGTTCAGGGGTGACGATGTACTCGTTGACGTCGTCTGCACCTCCCTGAATGTTGCTCTGCCTTCTCCGCTGGTTGCGTCCAGCGCGTGGTCCACAGCCTCTGGATGTCTCGGTGTTGTCCACGGTGGTGAAGTATCGCCTGATACTTCCGATACTGTGTCGGCGGCGCGTTCTATCTCGTCCAGGGGTGGCGATGTCCAATGGTTGACACGCCCGAACCGCTCTGGATGCTGCTTGCCGCCGATACACAGGATTCTCGCTCCAAGGGTTGAGCGCAGTCGAATCCTTCCTCGGGATCACGTCTCTTCTGTCGATTCTTCGATAGCTATTGCTGCGTGGTACTGACCGGTCACAAGAACTACACTACGCGGTTCTTATCAATCCGGCTCGAAGGACCAGTGTTTAATCCGAACGCGAAACTGAATATCGTTCGAATATTGAAGATTGCACGTGGAGTGCCGACTAAATGCGAAGTTCGAAGGACCACCCCTGTTCTGCAGGGGACTAATGAGACGACTTGTGGTTTCTGGTTTATTTAAGGTTAACAAGTACAACGTGATCGAGTACAGAGAGACTGTGGTGGAAAAACTAGGTAGCGGTCCGAGTCTGAACGAGTAAGAAGCTAATCACGGCATTCCGCCGTTTTTATACCGTTGACTTTGGTGGCGGGGGTGCAGTGATGCCGACGTAGCTTGGCGTCCAAGGCGGAGGGTGCTAAGTTTGGCAACTCCGGGGACTTTCCACCGCGTGCGTCAGCCCTTGGGCCCGCGTGCAAAACATCGACGAAACAAGGGAGGCCCAAGGCGCCGAGCCGCGCACGTGTGGGCCATCCGACAGTCTCTTGGGGCTGCAACCACTCGAGACTGCCTTCGCCAGCCAAGTTTATGACACTTTGTCCCCTTGCTTAACGAAACTCTAAGATATTTTTTGCCCATGCTGGCCTTGACGAAACTTTCCAAACGCGGTTCTATGTCATAAACCTGGTCGACTCACCGAAGCCCAAACACCAGGATTCCTAAGAACAGAAAAACACGACTATGTGTTAGACACACGTACACGTTATACGTATCTTCGTCGCGCTCGTTTGCTCGCGCTCCTGGCTTCGTAATTCGAACGCACCGGAGCGGAGAATTGTACACTTTCGTAAATTACGAAATATAAGTGGACTGTATTTTGGCTAGGAAAAGAATTAAACTTCTTTTCCTCGCCGATTCAGTGGTCGATTGCCCAGTGGACGGGGATGCAAGAGGAGGTTGTAAGGCTCCTAATGCACTGTTCCCGTGAATATGCACACTGAGTCTGTGCGTCGAGTCGCACTGCAGTGCACTGCACGACCGTCAATCTGCGGCTTCTCTTAACACGTTCCAACAGATGACTTATTTGGCCGAGAGTTACACTGCGAAGCCCGACAACACGTTGTTCACTGCACGAATACACTACTCGACGTGATACGTTGCAGTATTTTGAACTACGCGGGGGCCTGACCCACGACTCCGTTACTTCTCCGCACTGGTGCTCCTCTAAACGTTACACCGGCGGGATCTGTAGAAATAAGGAGGCGAAGACCGAAAATCACACGTCCAAAATGGACGTGGACCTGACTACAGTGAGCCCACCAGGAGGTACACCACGTAGGTGCCTCCTTTTGGTGTCTCCTACGCCGAAGGGCAATCACACAGAAGTATGGGCGGTATCGCCGACTTCTGTATGATTCAACGTGTATACGTTGGAATCGACCTTTAAATTCCGCACAGGAGGGGTCGAACACCCTATTGGTGTATTCTCGAGCCCTCCAAAATATGCAGTAAATTTAAATTAATTAGACTCGATCGAGATTTGCTCGAACGAGAAGCAGGTGAACTTGCACGAATCGAGATGCGAATCGTGTTTTCCAAGCAAGGTGGGAATGAATTTCCGACCTTTTCGAGCAAGGCTCGCTACACCCTTTTGAACAGCAGTCTTTATGGCTTTCTCGCAAGAGGATTTTCCCTCTTCAATCGCGATTAACTTCTGATCGAAATATGATCGGGAGCCGATGCGTCTCGGTCAGAAGTCGCCGTAAGAATGATACGGATTGACAGCCGAAGACGTCGCCGCGGTACTCTTACTGGTCGTTCCGTGGCGCTGTCTGATTTTCGGCCGTCTTTCCTTGTCACATTATTGGCGCACTACTCTCTCACGGTACTGACGTCACTAACACCGTTAGCACACTCGAATCGAAAGGTAATGAGCCGTTACCGATGCCAGAAAAACTAATAATACACACGTTTTTCAATCACCGTTCGCTATACAAATCCAATTAGAGATAATCTCTTGGTTATTGTACGTTAACAGGATTAACGGTAATTGCGGCCGAGGCTAATCGCTCGGCATTATGCAATCTTTAAACAGTATGTCTCTTCACCAAAAATTATTGTAATCGACCCTCGGAACTGAAAATAATATTTTCAGAACGATTCGAAATTTTTTTCTCCCGTCGAAACATTTCACACATTCTCAAATTTTTTTCGCGAAAGTGGATAGGATTTTGAGGGTATGTCTAATGAAAAAAAATGATAGTAATTGACTCCTGCAACTAAAAATAATTTTTCCACGACGATTTGAAATTTTTTAATTTTCTCGAAAAATTTCAGCATCTTCTCGAATTTTTTTCTAGAAAATGCGCAGGATTTCGAGGGTATGTCTATTCACCAAAAAT